CGCATGAGTAATATTCTCAGTTTTAAGACCAGTTTTGTTTGCGATTTTTCTCTTATATTTTTCATGAGCTTTAACAAGTTTAGTTGGCATATCCAAACGAATTATTCCTTTAATTTCGGCTCGTGGAATATCCGAAAAAAACATTCTTTTTACAATTAGATAATCTTGATCTTGTTCACATAGAACAGTCATCTGTGTAGCCTCTAAAGTTGGAAGGTAAGAAAACATGTCGGAAGTTGGTAATGAAATACGGGATAAATTACTTGATCGAGTTGTATAAATATTATTATTTGGATAAAATAATAGAGTATGACATAATTCACATTCTAACATCATCGATTCGTTAATAAATCTACAAGAAGGACATTCTTTTCCAAAAATATAAGCACTATTACGTTTTTCTTCGGTATTAATGCTATTATTTTTTTCTTCAGAAAGAATACTATGACGCTTTTCTTCATTAAGACTATTATTTTCTAAAGTCAATGCTACAGACTTTTCTGATATGCCATCAAGTTTCAATTCTTTGTCACGACAACTTAATACTTCATATAATTTACATGCTATCTGAATATCATCTAATTGTTTATCCTCTTCAACAACTGTGGGTAAAGGTAAAGGTGAAACAATATTATTACTTCTCGAAGTTATTTGAGAAATTTGAGATAATGGTCTCGGTAAACGAGAAACTTGAGATAATGGTCTTGATAAAGGTATAGTTCTTTCAGAAGTTTCTTCGGATGAAGAAATTGGAGTTATCATTGAACAAATCCGCGAACTCTTGGGTCGTTTTACGTTTCCTATTCTCCCTCCTGTATTTCCACCAATGTGACCTCCATAGAAGTCAGACTCTTGTCGATAAATATTATTATAAATACTGCTTGAAATACTATTACGACCACATAATTGTTGTTGTGGTTGATTTAACATTAAGGGTTTATCATTTTGACGAAGAACTGCTTTCTTTGTCCAAGACTTTAATCTTCCAAGTAGTTTTTTGCCTTTATTATTAGAAGGTTGTTTTTGATAATCAACCAACATAAATTCTTGTTCCATTTTTTTTCTTTTTTAAAATCTTTTTTTTTAAAAAAAAATAATAATAAGTTTAATTTTTGTGTAATTTTATTTGAAAAATCCAAGTTTTTTTTTTAAAAAATAAAAAGTCTAATTTTCTATAATTTTTCCAACGGGCTGAAAGAAAGGGCGATCAAGTAGGTTTTATATATGAAACTCGATAGGAAAATCTAAACAAACAAATGATTTTCTAAGTTAGATTTTCAAAGTTAGAAAAATTAGAAAACCATTCACCATTAAATACTATATTTGTAAATTATTATATAGAAAAGCATTACATGTGTATCATTAAATTATTTTTCTGTCACCAATGTTGTTTTCTTTTACGAACAATATTCAACGTAATGTTACGTACGGACGTATGTACATATGTATGTAAAAATACGCACGTACGCACAATGTACGTGCGTGATCAAAAGGTAAGTCCAAACCATACAATTTTGTGAATTCATGTAAAATAATATAATGGAATTATCTGGTACCCTTGTTAACTAGATAAAATTGTCGGAAAAGTGGCGTGGGGCTTTTTGTTGGTCAACAAATTTTTAATATAACTGATATAGACAAACACTGCATTTATTAATAATATATAGTGTAGTACATTGAAAAAACAAAAAAAAACTCGATTATCGTTTATAAAAAGTATTTTTTAGTCCGGGGCTCATCACTAGATTTTTAAACAATTGGTAAACTCAATCTTTAATATTATCATCTTAATATTATCTTAATATTATCTTTATATTACATGATCTATATCGATATCTTGAGCAAAAAAATCGTTTACCCCAACATCAACAATTTACCGAGACAATATATTTATTATTATATAATGGAGTTTTTTTTTTTTTTTTGTGGGGATATAATGATGAGTTGGCGTGCATTTCGTACACAGTAGGTGAAATATTTACTGGCTAATTTTATATGAATATGCATTTGTATTATAACATATTATAACATCTATTATTTTTTTTTAATATTTTGACATTTTCTAAAATGACAAAAAATGAAACATTTATTATGAATATCACCTTTTAGAGATTAGTGAAAAGTTAATTTTTTTAAAAATCTAGGAACAAAAAGATTATTTTGGAACTCATTGTTTGTTGCATTGTGTAAGGGGTTCTTGAAGTCACATGAATCCATTTCTTGTGAGATTATAGACCGGTAATAAAACTCGTTTTTTATTCCCATATCGATATTAACTAACTTTTTTCGAATCCTTTATATGTCACTTGATAATCGGTGTACATTTAAGTATTTAAGTATTACTGTATTAACGTTAAAAACGTTAACGTTAACAATGTCATAGCCTTGTCATAACATTGTCATAACATTGTCACCTGATACTACGCTTAACCCAACAAGATTTCATTGCTACTCTTTTGAGAATCGTATTATTAATTGTTTAATTTTTTTTTTTTTTTTTGATATCGATACTATACAGCAATACAGCAATATACCGATACATACGACGTATCAAAAAAAGTCTTTCCGAAAATTCGGGTAAAAGTTATTCGGAAACATTTCGCCGAAATTCACTACTTTTTTAGCTGGCAATACATCAGAAAATAATTAAACTATTGCACCTTTTTTTTCTTGGTTTAAAAAAAATTTAAAAAAGTAAATTATTTCTAAATCCTTTAAATAACATGCATTTTTGTTGGGGTTGAATTAAAGTTCGGCTTCTTCATTGTTGTGATTTAGAATACTACGTATATGTAATATGTATCAGTATATATTTTTAGCTCTGTATAAATTTTTATTACATTTTAACCAATGAACAAATAGTACGTAGTATGTCCTACATATAAAAAGAATATATCAAAATGCATGTTAGCGATGATGGATGAACATAGCAGAAAATTTATTATTTTGCATAAATGCTTTTATGCTTTTCGTTTTGAGTGACTTAGTAATATTAATAATAAAACGAATAAAAATTTCTTATCATACTCAACTTAGGTAATAATTTTGCATGTTCTTATGTACGAATAAAAATGCTCAAAAAAAAAAACCTTTCTCATTTATCAAGTGGTTTTTTGATCTCATGATTTTTAAAAAATTTTAAAAAAAGTGCGTTTATGTTGTATTTTGTTTCATGATTTATGAGTGTTAATGTTTGATTTATTATTAAATGGTGCGTAATTTAGCCTTCGCAACTTATACACTAACTGATAAAAGGTCATTGCAAACTGGAATCATTTTTGCGATTTACTATGAAAATTTCCTCTTAGAGATTAATACAGTATATATATAGTTTATACCAAGTCTAGGATATTTTGTCGCTATCGCAAAAATGTAAAGTAGTTACTACTATCAGTAAAATAGTATATAGTAACATAGTAGTCAATATTAGTAGATGTATTGCTAATATACAGTAACTTTAAAACTATAGCCACTACAAAGTAACTATATACTGTATATCTGATATAGTTACTTTGTACTGTACGTAGCTAATATTAAAGTTGCTGAATTAAGCATTTATATAAAGTATATATTTAATAAAAATTTCGGTATAGTGAATTTTAAAAAAATTTTATTAATAAAACCAATCACTTCACTATAACGAAAGTGACATGTATTTATAAAAGTATACATTTAAAAAAGTTTGCTTTTTTACTTTTTAATAAATGGATCGGCCTTGAGACCGGATAAGGTTCAGTCTTTCTAATCGGTTAAAGGTTCTTCTTTTAATCAGTTCAGAACGGTTAATAAATAACCTTTTAAATAGTTAAAAACCATTATTGCATGAATTTTTTTTGAAAGTGTTAGCTTAAAATGATAAACTACTTTCGTAAAAATAGTTTAATTTGACGTGAAAATAGTTTGTTTTTGAGACCAGGGACCAACCGAACCGGGCCGATAGTTATAACACGACTGGTCTTATTAGAGACCGAGACTGACTGATCCAACCCTAATATAACCAAATTTAGCTTATTTTTAGCTTTATTTTAATTATATAATCTATATATCTTATTGTATAAACAAACTCAAACTTAACAGATTATTAAAACTTTAAAAAAACCAGTTAATTACTTCAAAATATTTAAAATTATATATTGTAAACCTAATTTTTTTTATTTGCAAGATAATTTTTTTTTTTTTTAATTGGAGGTTATTTGCCTTTTTTTCAAATGATCTAGGCTATTTCAAACTAAAATTTGTGTTATTTGAGGTCATTTGAGATTATTTGAAGGTTATTTATCATACCTGCTTTGTGTTCTTTATTTAAAAATCATTACAGTAATATTTCAAAATTTTACTCTATTATATAACTTAACAGAAATTATTTTTTTACAATTTTACTTTAATATTAATCTTTGTTTTTATATTTTACTTGTTGTCTATTAACATATAGAAGGCACAATACTGTATATATAGAGATAAATTTACTTTAAATTTATAAAATTTTGTTTAATATTATCTAAATATAGCTTCTAATTATCAAACTATGCAACTTTTAATTAAACCAAATTTTAAAAATACTGCATAGTTTGAATTCAAGTTTATAAACTAATTTTAAATTCTAGTTCTAACTAAAGTCTAAATCTAATCTTTTTTAATAATATAAAAATACTTATAAATTTATAACTGTATACAGTGTTTGAATTGGACTTATTTCAATTAGGTTAATTAAAATTATTGGAAAATTGGACAAATTGGACGATTTGGACAATTGGACAATTGGATATGATTCAATTATGTTAATCTTACATATTTAGATTAATGATGTTTGATTTGCTAATGAAATTTGATTTTGATAAATTATTTTTAATAAATATTTCTCAAAAAAATAGTGTTAAGTATTTTAAAAATAAACTAAAAAATTTTTTGTTGCTTTACACTATTAAAAAATAGCAAGAGAAAAACATAAACTTACTGAATATTTTGTAATTTTACAAGAAAGTCAAACAAGTATAATAATTATGCTGTTTGACGAGAATGTATTAGAGTTTTGGGTCGATCAGTAGCATTTCAAAAAAAATTTACTAATACTAAGCATGCATGTGCAAAATATCTTTTAAACTGTGAAAATTTTGCTAAACAATATACTATAGAACAAACTCAAGAAATTGTTCAAAAAGCAATGGAATATGGATTAAAAAAAATCGAATAAACAACTTCAAACAACTTCTAGTTTTGAAACTAATGATGAGTCTTTTGAATCTGCATCAACATCATCATCTGTTATTAATCAAAATCATGGATTACTAGATAGTTATTTGTATCAAGAACTAAAACCCGATCAAATTGAAGAATTTAAAAAATTGTTATTAAATGCAACAGTTGCTTGTGATTGGTCATTTTGTTAGGTTGAAAATCCAGCAGTAAAGAAATTATTTAAATGGGTTAATTCAATATTATCCTTGCCAAGTCAAAAACAACTAAGTGGGCATATTCTTAAAAAATCAACTACTGAAATTTCTAAAACGATTTTAGATGATGCAATTAATGATGATCTTGGTATTACACTTGCTTATAATGGGTGGAGAAATATTGTACAACAAAATTTATTAGGAACAGTATTGTTTACTTCAACAAACAATATGATTATTTGGGATATTAAAAATATAAGCGGAAAAAAAAGTAAAAGTGAAATTATAATTAATGAAACAAAAAAAAGTTTAATAATCTTGAGCAAAAAAATTAAAATTAATGGATTAATTACAGATTTAGCTTCAGAAAATATTATTGCAAAGTATATTATCTATTTATTCTATTTATTATATATTTTATTAATTTATTCCTTAAATTGTTTTGCAGCCAAATTTGTCTGCAAACTTTTTTAAATTTTAAAATTTTTTAATAAAATTTTAAATATT